CTACTACTACTTATACTATGTTATACTACTACTACTTATACTACTATTTATACTATCTTATACTACTATCTTATACTCTTACTCCTTATACTTATACTATCTCTCTATTTATCCCTGAGGCTTCCTGCGGGTTGCCCCTCCTGTCCCCGCACCTTCCCCTTATGCCACTGATGCTTGCCCGACCTTGCGTGCCTGCTCTGTTCCCTGTATTGTCCATGTGTCTTCCCTGTCTGTCCTTGTAGTTTGCTCGATCTTGCATGCCTGCTTCCATTCCTGTCTATTCCTGCAATTTTCTTATCTGCCTGTACATACACACTACTCCATTTGAGTGTTTCTGCACTTTCACAAGACTGCCAACTTTTCCTCTTCCCCCAAACACTGTCATCTATTACTTCACATCCCTATCTGATATCTGCACAACTTTGCCTCAGTCTCCAGCTGTTTCTCACCCTACTTCAACCACTTCCCTATTTCTCTTTACCCAACTTTACCCAAGGTGTCTGGGGAAATATTAGCTACAGTCACAGAGCATTTGTCGACAGTCAATGCTTGCAAACATTTTCTAATCGTACATTACTGCTTTTAATGGTGTCTTGTGCTGATAGCTTTTACTTTAATACTTTATTCATGTTCCTTGAAAGTTCATAGTCGGATTTCTTTTGAAACATTAATAACATCATTGTTCATGGTTAAATCCTTAAATTGTTTACCATGACAGTTTCAGCTGTTGTTCTGACAGCCATTTTCAGAATTTTTCAGTAAATTCTGAAGATGGCTGTCAGAACGACAGCTGAAACTGTCAAGGTAAACAATTTAAAGATTTAACCATGAACAATGATGTTATTAATAATTTATTCATGTTCATTATCTGCTGTCTCTGTTGCCAGGTTGGTAGAGAAGGAAGATGAAGCAAGAGACCGGGAAAAAGAAATGGTGAGTTAAATTCTTGAACCATTTCCTGAACCATTTACGTATTTACACAAGTGCTCAGTCTCTGAACACGTGTTTGAAAGAAGATACGCCCAGAACAAAGAAAGTGTTGTAGCAAGCACATGAATGAAAGGCGTTTATAACTGAAAGAATTGAATGGGATGTTATATTTCATGTTGATGTTTATGAAGTAACGATACAAATGTAGATTTGAATGGTTATTTGAGCAGTGTGTATGTAAAGTTCTTGTTGTTTTTTTCTACCAGGAAGGTGTGCATGTATCAGGGAATGAAATAAACAGACTCCGTCTAGCAGAAGAAAAACTAGCCAAGGTGAATATTGCTGAAGTGTCAATATTCAGTTTATCACATCATACATTTTTAAATTTTCGAAGTTTTCCTTGGAATTATCACGCATATTCATACAGTAGTCATTAAGCACGCCATCTGTAGTAAAAGTTAAGGCATCAATGATGTGTAAGGCCTCACACAGGCACTCTGCAAGACTCGCACTTGTCCATCAGTCCTTGGGAATAACTGGGGTGTAAACACTTGGAAATCCTTTTCGTACATCAGCACGAAAATAGGTACAAGTGCGCGTGAGCATTGGTAACTTGGCAAAAAGTTTTGTTTCGCGAATGTATTCGCTCGGATCCATCGACCCGAAAATACGAGAAAGTTCCTTTGAAAGTCTCCGCTTGTAAATGCCACGACGAATGCTTGTGATTGACAGCTGGGCAGAGACCTGCCGAAACTACAAATGTGGCTTCAGTACACGCACGAGCTAGATAAGAGAAACTACAACCGGAAGTATGCTGAGGCAGAGAGACAGCTGAGACAGGCAAAGGATGCAGTAAGTCTTGACTTGTCCGATTCCGATTGATTCCGATTTTTCCCGTTAGGTGCATTCACAGTGAATCGCTACATACAGTGAATGTCATGTGAACTAGACAGAGGGCACTCAAAGAGAGTGCATACCTCCGCGAGCGTGTAACATGTATACATGTGTATAACAGCTGGCTCGCTGCTGGCTGCTGCTGACTGGACGCCCTAAGGCGAGCTGCTGCTGACTGGATGCCCTAAGGCAAGCGGCTGCTGACTGGACGCCCTAAGGCGAGCTGCTGCTGACTGGACGCCCTAAGGCGAGCTGGTGCGGAATCGATCGATCGGTTGAGCGTGTGTATAACAGCTGGCTCGCTGCTGGCTACACACACACGAACACACACACGAGAGCGATTACATTACCTCCCTGCAACTCCGTTGTGCGGAGGTAATCAATCGATAGTGCACCACGAAGTACACGGCGCAGTGCTGATCATAAGCTATTGAATATAGCAACTACCATAAAATTGGAAACTAAATTATGTTCATATCGATATTTAATGTTCCCGAACCAGCTGTAACATCAGAAATCAATGCACACATTTTAATATTATTACAGTGAAATGAATTGACTTTTCTCTATAATGACCTCTCCACGCGATGATGCATGCTAATTGATTTAGTTCTGTACTTTTCTAGGTTGACTGTTTACATGTAACATATTACACACACGCGCACGTGCATGCACACTCGCACGCGCACGTGCATGCATACATACAAACATATAGCCCACGTCTGAATATATTTAGGAAGAAATGAGTTTTGTTATGAGCTTAACCGACGATGAAATTGTGTGCTCAAAGCCAAACGTTTAAAAAAAAAATTTATTTCCGTTCGAACAGTAGCATAGTTTTCCTACTAGGAAATGTCGCTTCCTGTTAGATGTTAATGTCGCGTGCAGAAATCGTATCACGAACGCGCATATTCACTCGTACTTCTTTTGCTTCTATTTCTGCAGCGAAAGGTTGGTTCGTGTAAGCTTTTTGCTGGCCCAGCTATTGGTGTAATTGCTCAAGCTGCTGCTGCTGTTTCTGTGTGCTGGTGTGCGTGTGTTTGTGTTTGTGTGTGTGTGTGTGTGTGTGTGCGTGTGTGTGTGT